ATGCGGCTTCGTTATCATCAAGAGTGAAGAAGATGATCGATGAGAGGAGACCCTCCCCTCTCCCGCGCGCCGGGGAAGTCGTCGAGTTAGCTCGGCACGAAGGCGCGAAAATGTATTTTTAATCGCGCGAGCGGGTGCGTGAACCGCGTGAACGCGCAACGTGTCGCGCTCTATCTCAGTCCTCGGATTTCTCTCTATTATCCTCCCGCGTTTCAACGAAGCGACGTAATTATGCCGTGAACGAACCCTCGCTCGCGCGGGACCACCCTGTGTACACGCACATAGATAATGTGGCACGTATTGCAAGAGACGAGGCCGCGAGATGGATGCGCTTGTCGTACGTAGAACGGGGTCGTGTGTTACGATCGTTCATGTAGGTCATATATCGTGTGACGGCATATATCGTGGAGTGAAATAATGTTTCAGCGACGTTTTTTCTCGAATTTCCGCCGAGAAGTGGAACAGCTGTCCGACGAGTGAATGAGAAGCGTCTCGAGGGAGAGCCGGTGAACGCGTCGATGCGTTTCCATCGACGGGAAAGACGGAGCTGCGTCGAGAGAGAGCGTCTGTCGCATCGTGGGACGATGTTGACGAAAAACCGATCGTGTAGATGCTACTGTCAAACGGGAATCGCACGCGATCACCGCTTACTGATTTCTGACTTCATTCATATTTCCAAAATCCGTATCCGACTTTTAATTGAGATTTCGATTTAGACTATAAAGATTTAAAAAGATCCCGCGTAATGTGCAAATAAAAATCTGCGTATCAAAGGATGAAAAAAATTTGACAGTAACATGAATATTAAATAGATGATTGACTTTTAATTAACATCGTCCCGCGATGCTCGGATTGATATCGGGACGCCGTGAATAGGAATGAAGATTGAATAAACTGTCTTGAAGAAAAGGCATTCTTGTGAGGAGTGATACTGTGACCTAGTTGTAGTTGTAGTTGTGCTTGATGGGTGCCACCTGCACGAGTAATGAAACTGTTATTGGCTTAAATAAAGGTCTCGAATTAGCGGCTCGCTGTTCTTGTACCTGTAATTAACAGGTCCCAGCCATCCGAGGGATGACGCTGTTATCGAAACTAGAGTAATTGCGCTTAAGTATAAAATTATAATTGCTCTGTACGTGTGATGCAGAGCGAGTGTGTTTCCTGTAAATGGCGGTGTTTTCGGCTCGTGTCGCTGTTCAATGTAAAAAAATCATTAGCAGAATATATTATGTAAGAGATCATCTCTCTCCATCAAAAAAACCATCCGATATGTCGCGTAGCAACGACTTCATTCAACGACGCATTATTTCGCATTCGATTAAATAAAAATCTTGCTCGTTTGACTCTTACTCTCAATTTTATTCATGCTCTTTACATTTTTATTTCGGCTGCATTTCGTACGTGTATAAAATATTTCATATGAATAAATTTCATTTAAATTCCAACAACTTGTCTCTTGACCATTAAAATATTAGGATTTAAGAAAAATATTAGAATTTAAAGGTAAAGTATCAGAATTTTAAGTTATATTGCGAACTTTTTTGAGCGCAGAGAATCTTTGAAATTTTTTCCCCGGGACGTTATGATCCTCAAAACTATCCTAAGGAGGGACAAGGAAAAATTCCCTCGACTATATAGATTATCGTGTTTGTTTCATTGGCGAACATATTTAATATCTTTCTCGACGACGTAGTTGTATGAAAGAAATCTCCCAAAATGGGCTTTTTTAAATCTTTAGTGAAGCGTATCCCCTTAAACTCTAAGGAGATCCAGGAACTTGGATTGTTCGTCGCGGGAGGTCTACGTTGTTGAACGTAGCTGCGCGTATAATCGGAGTGTTACATTATTACGAGCTATTTCGGATAGCGCGCACGTGCTCCGTGCAGGCTCCGCGCGCTAAAACGGCTGCGAATCCGCCGAGATTAGAATCATTACGATACACGGGGCCGGCGCAACACAGCGCCCGGCCGGATAGAATCTTTACGATCGCCATAAAGCTCGTTCTCTTTCTCATTTCCGCTCGATTCTCGGCTTCACGAGTATACACACGCCGTTGGTTATCTCGATGCGAGGGCACCGATGCAGCGGTACAAATTGCGAACGCCTCTCCACACGTCCTTAAACGGTTAGTATCACGGCGACGGTCCAGTGTAACGTTCTCCAACGAGCACCCTCGAGGACTCTTGTAATATTGTCTTGTAATATTGTCTTGTAAACTGTCGCGAATGATATCTTCGAGCTCGTCATGATCTCGGCGAAGAAATTCAGGAGAAAAAAAAAAAATTATCTGATTCGATAAATTTCGGGGAGATTTCTGCCGGCTAAAATTATAAGACAAATATAATAAAAATAGTTCTTTCAAAAGAAGACATTCCGTACCCCATTTTTCCATCGCGCGTGCAAGGATGAGGTACGTCGCGCCGGCTCTTCGCGGGCGCCTCGTGAATTCGTCACGAGGCGGAAACGCGTGTCCTTGGTGGCTTTGCGTTCAAGCTTTCGTGGTTGGATAACGCGTAATGCGACGTCGGAATGTGCATGTGCGTGCTCGACGACGCGAACGGAAGCGATTACGAGACAACGGCGAGGCGGCGGAGACGACGCGTTATCATCCCCGTGGTCCATATACAATGCCGTGGGGGAGGCGGCGGATCCTTTGAGGTCGGCGTTACGGCTTCCGCGAAACACGTCACGTCGGGATATACGTATCGAGACTGCGAATACTAATGTCCCTCTAATGCATCGCGCGGCTTGAATTCGTAATAGACGCCAGGCGTCGCGCCGCGTCGCGTTGGCGAGATGAAGCATCCGCGCAGAAATTTCCACCGATTTCAGCTGTGTGCGTTGTATGTGTATGTGTATGTGTGTATGTGTGTATGTGTATACCTTCGCCTCGGTTCCACGATTTATCGCGAACGTGTGCACATCGTGTAGCGCGCGTTGCGAGACCTGCATTCTCGTGCTCTTTGTTTCCGAGAGATCCGCGCGGATTATTATCCTGACTTCTCGTCGTTTACACACGGAATATGTAACAAAACCCTCCCCTCCCTCCCCCTTTAAGCAGACACGCAATCAAAAGTAATCGTCCTTCGCCCTTCGTCGCCGATTTGGGAAAATCGCGCGCGCAGAATGTGAAGGCTCGCATTTGGCGGACGATACTTCCCCCTTCGTCGAAAATTGGATACGTCTTCCTTCTATCAACATTTAACGTCTTGTGTTTTCCCACGGGCTCCGCAGTTTGAGCGTTGTGTAACTTGGCAGAGCGGAGTTTCGGGGTGTATCTCTGAAATAACAGATCTGCCGTAATGTTCCGCGTTTGAAATTTCTCGTGTTTCATCGTACGTTAAATGTTTCTCATTATTATCGGGATATATTTTCTCTGCGCACGGTCCGTGGTACCTCATCCGAGGGATGAGAAATGGAGTCTGCGGAGAAAAAATTTTACCCCTCGGTGACAAAATTGAGACGGAGAATCACTCAACTCGCTCCGACTCTGAGAGAGAAAGAGAACTCTCTTTCTCACTTGTAGATATCAAACGCGACCTCGTGGAAAAACGCGCGTTTCCGACAGTGACGAACCGTCGCGTCGCGACGTTTACAGCCGACATAAATGAGACTCCGAGAGGAGCGGGATTCTCGAAACAAAGGGCCGCCTCTCTTCAATTCCGCAAAGAGCTCTCGGAGGTAAGGAGGTTTGAACGAAGTTATAAATTTTGACTTTTTCTTCGACGTTCGACTCGTACAAACCGGACCGGTCACAATGCTTTTACGACGTAGACGGCTGCCCGGATCAATCGTCGCCCGTTTCTCGCCGCACGTACGTGTCGTTTGCATTAACCGGATTTTATCCGGATGATTGAAGACTCACGGAAAGCTCGATGAATTTTAGCGAGTGAATTTCAGGGGCTCAACGTATCATAAACATTTTTCAAATTAATACCTCCCGATACCGGTACATCTGTAAATCTCAGCAATTTTTTCAATCATCCCCTACCTCCCCCCCCCCCCTCCACCCGCTCCCGTGCACCCCCGTTGATTTTCTACACTCGGATTTTTAACGATTTACAATGACATCCGAATTTTTATTCTTTCAACGAGAAACATAAAGATAACATTGCATAAAAATATCGGCCAGATATAATACGCTTACGCATTTTTTGAAAAAATAAATATGCCGCTGTTCGGAATGCAAATGTAGGGAATATTTGCATCGTGAAATATGAAGATAGCATTGCGTTTTTCTAAATGCAAATCTGTTTACATCTGCATCGCAAAATGCTCAAATAATATTTCTACACGTTGAAATTATGTTTGAAAATGGGAACGGGTTTATATTCAATGCGTAAGACAAAACTATTAGTTTTGTCATATACAGGTGAGAATTAATTTAAATGTGGAATATTTATTAACTGAGACCCGACGCGCCACTTTAGCTTTAAATGTCGGGAAAAATGGCAACAATTAACTCTACGCTTCTCCAAAATTGTGCATGTACATATAAATTTAAATTACATGATAATTCCTTGTAATATTTAACAATTCATCTTGACGAAATGCAGCCGCGTTTCAATAACGCAATCATTTTAACGCAATCATTTTAATGAATACGAGCAAATGGCGTCAATGATGAGGCCGCGCGAACCCAGCACGATGCGACACCATGATGCATCGTGCATATTATAATTCATTATATTTGCTGTCTATTAAGCCGACCGACGGTTATTTTCATTATTCTCGATATCTAATAATTGAGCGTCAAACGATGTTATCGATTAACGCGCTAATTGCCGCAGAATTCATTTTATCGCAAAACAATTTTACAAATAAATAGAGAGAATTAATGTAATATCTCCGACCGAAGAATGTAACTTCACTGTTTGAAATTCGACCGCCAACGTTTCGTTTCGTACGACTGATCTTGACCGAGCCGATATATTAACACCTATATCTTTGTACGATGCTCGTACGATGCTCAGATTGTTAACGGATGATCGGGCACTGACCTCCAGAAAATCCTTTACGGTGGTGTCGATGACCATGAGTGGTCGTTGTATCAGATGGACCACGCCGTTACGCACGGGGATGTTCGCCTTCACTATTTCCGCCAGCACCACCCCAGGCTGGTGGGTCGAATCGCCCACTATCGTGTTTGATTGGACGTAGACTGAAAATTAGCGGACTATCAATTAGCCACCGAAATATAATACGTACTCTGATTTTTATCACTGGCGCTGTCGGGGGGAGGTGTAGACACACGCCCCTTTCAGCCGAACACAATCGCTTTATTATAACGTAAAATCTTCTCGCGTTAAGCATAATAGCGTGTAACGGCGGATAATAGGATATCCTATCTCTAATAATAGCATTCTTGATCGGATCGACCCTCGAATCGATTCAAATTTTCCTGGATGATCAAGACATATGACGTCCAAGTGATTATCATCACCTTTATTTTGCGCCTTCAGGAAGCTGGCGGTGACTTTCAGATTGTCGGAGAACACGAGGGTTGGATACGGCACCTTGTCTGGCGTTGGTGCGGTGAAGAGGACCTGGCTGGGTAAAACATGACCGTCGATCACCAGCTGATCAATCTTCTGCGGTCTTGGTTCCGGCTGCAACAGAGAGGCGAAAATCACGGAAACTCCATCGAAATGAAAAGAAATTATGTGTAAGTGAAAAGAAAATGAAATAGAATAAAATTTATTACTTCAGCACATATATATATATATATATATAGTCTAAAAGAGACTTAATTTACAAAATTTCATCCAACACACTCTACCTAACTTATTTTAAATCTCCTTATCTAATCCTTATATAATAATTTATCCAAACACAGCCGAGAGAAATCAAAACCTTATAAAAAACTTATAACTTATATGTTTCTCCTTAACTCTTCAATCCACTTACATCGATTCCGCTTAGAGCTACTACTACAATTTCTGCTTTACACGAAAATAATACAATAGCTTTCGTTTTTTTTTTAATAATCGCAACTTCTTTTAATAATCGCGATTTCTTTTAATTTACGCGAACTGTCGTTATCCGTCGAGAATTTAATTACTATAAAAGAATACAATTTGTGAGATATATGAAAAATGATAAACCGGTATCTCTAAGAAATAAGCAGCAGCTTGGTTTTATTTTGCGGTCTGCTGACAGTCCCACGCCGCACCTTCTCATTGTCGGATATACGCGTCCTTTCATCCGACGTCTCAGCTTCTGTCACAAAAGCGCAGCCGACCGCGTTGTCACGGCAACTCGATTTCTGTGCGGGGACCACGAACTTTAAATCCCATCCTCGGAAGAGGACTGACTTCGAGGAGGGAAGGAAAGGTGACGAAGCGCGGAAGGGAGTTTCGATACCTCGGAGTTCTCGGCGAAGTGACGACCTCGTTGAGAGAGGAACTTTTTGAGATCGAGTTGTACACCGTCGTTACGTACCCTTTCGTACCCTTCCGCACGACCTCGATTTTCTTTGCTTTCTTGATGTCAGTTTTTTTTCTCCTATCTTTTTTCTTTCTTTCTTTCTTTCTTTCTTTCTTTCTTTGCTTTCCTCCTTTCTCGTATCCGCGCCCGACGCGTCGTATGTACAGGCGCGAAACTTTCGGTAATTTCTGACGGGATGGCTCGTTTAACTCCGGCCCGTTTTTATGCTCCAAGTTGGATTACGTCCGCGCAAACATCCATTGTGTGTACAGGAGCCTGGCGTTGAAAATTGGAGAAAAAGCGGAATTCCGCGCCGAAGTGCGGCGATGCGAGTATAATGAAACACGGAGGGTCCGAGGGATGCACGCGGATTCGTACAATGAAATTCATAATTTTTAATTGTCCTTATTTCCGCCAGGAATTAATGGACGTTCCTTGAAATTACGCAAAAAGAGAGAATTAAAACATTTTAACGCATAAAATTTATATTTTTATATGGCACATTTAGAGAAGAGCGTCGCTGAAAATCTCTTACAGGACTTCAACAATAACAACAATAATAATACTAAACAATTTAGTTAATAACTATATTATATAACAAAATTTTAAAAATTAACAAATATAATTAAAAAATAATTAAATTAAAAAAATAATATTTAAATTCTATCGTTCGATATATAATAAATAAAGTTCAAAGATTAGCAATAAATCCGTCTAATTAATTTTCAGAACTAAGAAAAGATAAAAACTAAGTTAATCCGAGATTAAGATTAATCTACATTGACAAAAATGGAAATAAAATAAATCTTTCTATGTCAAGTGGATGCTCCAATCGCATAATCAAATTTCGCTAATCGCTGGTCATTTCGCGTCGAGCATTACTGATACATAGAAAAAAAATTTAGTCTTAAATCAAAATAAACATTCTGAGAAAAATTTTGGTTTTCATTTAATTGAATTTATATTGATACAGATAAGTATAAATATTCTTATATAAACAAGAATATTATAATCTTTATATAGAAGATTTTTAGTCTTAAATAAAAGTAACATCTGTGTCAATACAAATTCAATCAAATCAAGACTAAAATTTTTGAAAAGATCATAAAGATTATATTCTGGCTTACGTATGAGAATATTTGTCTTGATTTGAAACTAATTTTTTTTTTGTATATGCAAATCGTGTGATTATTTCCTTCGCGTTCTTCGCTCCTTTCAGATTAACTTCTTATATAACGAATGTCAGAAATTGTAGAATCTGGCGGTCAAGCAATCGTATTCGTCTCGATGTATCAATTGACTCATCCAACCGCGATTAACCGCGGTTCTCGATAGAGTAATCGGCGTACGAGTTTCGCCGGGTAGTCTGGACAATCTGTTTTCTTGCTCGTGTTTCGATCGGGATATTCACTTGTCGCGAGTGTCACTCGATGAAATTCAAGGAGAATCAAGTAACAAATTGCGGAGTATCGCGGGGCATCGAGGCATCATCGTAATGGAATAATTGAGGTAAGCGAATTGTCTAACTTATGCGATATATATATATATATTCGCATAGTTCTAATCATTTCTGAAACTGATTCCGGACCGAGTTGAATATAGGAATGTAAGAATATAGATTATGTGATTATATAAATTATAGACTGCATATTCCGTGATAAGAATAGATTAAAAATGGTTAATATAAAATACGGATAAATGAGTGTAGTGAAGGAAATATTTATAAACCAAGTCTTCTTATCTGTGAAGTTGAAGTAATAAACTATCTATCTAAGTAATACAAACGCATGCCATTTTTTTCATAAAGTAGTTTCTTAAATCGAGCATTTTCATTGTAATTAATTTTTCGTGAACTTTTATGCTGCAATTTAATTATTCTCGAACTGCAGAATATTTTATATAGAAAATATACAAAAAATTGTTTTGTTAAAGCATATAAAAATTTAATCAGACACACGGCTTTCAAAATCATTTTTGCAATATTAAATTATGTAAGATGTTCAATGTAGTTGCTAAAATATCAAATGTTTTTGCAGTATTATTATTATGCTTAAGCGTCCTAATAATAATAATTAATTAGTCATTTATTTTAGTCAAATTTTTAAGTACTTAGCAAACTCATTCTTCTTGAAGATAAAAAGTAAATAAACTTTGCCTGGAATTGTCAAAATCTTTAAGACAATCTTTAAGGCAATTTTTGTCTTAAAAATCCAGGAAAGTTCGCTATTTTTACAAAACATTATTATAAAACACGTACGATAATTTCGCACGTTCTAACTGCGACAACAGTCGCAATACAACAATTTAATAATTTTACACAGAGATTTTTTTGCGATGCAGCTACAAAGAGAATGTCGCGATACGGATACGGTGTTTCTTCGACGTTAAAATAGACTTGCATGCGACGTCGGAATGTCGCGTTTGTAATCCGACATTTGAAACATCTAAATGCCACGCGTACGTATCCGTACGGAATAATTTACATCCGCTGGTAAAACGTCACCCTGTGTAACACTCGCAACAGGATGTTTCGCGTAGGACACTCCGAATGTGCACGTAAATTCTGTAGTGTCTAGGGTCGCTCTATCGCCACATGTCACATCGCGCAATAATCATTTCTTTTCTACATTTCGTGTCAGAAAATTTCCTCTAGTCCTAATAAAAGTTTAATATTAATATCAAACATAACTTAGAAGTTCTAAGAATTAATTTTATCTCATTAATTTTATCTCATTTATTTGATTCCTAAATAAATCAAATGAATTATTCGACGAATTAGTTTGTCTTTTTTTGAAACATGCGGATTATATATAAACGCTCGACTCAAGTTGCGTCATTCAGTTTCGAGGGAGATACAACGAATGCGATTGTCTTCGAATTTTTCAAGGGGAAGTCAGTCGTGGGGAGGAAGATATTAAAATCATTCCCTCGGATGATCAATTCGCGAAGGTCGCTAAAGCCGCTTACCTTGAAGCCCTCGTCAATGGGGATGAAAAATGTGAAACGACCCTCGGCCTTGAAGATAGCTTCCTTCTTCTCGATGATGATCCGTTGTCGGAAGGTACTAGGAAAAAAAGGGTTAATTACGAAGGCGTAGCGCACGAGATGCGGCCGACATTAATAAGACAAACGAGAAAAGTTCGTGCATTTATTTACGTTATTTAGATGCGCCAAAGTTTTTGTATTTATATTTAAATCAGGAACTGCGTTAATTGATTGCCGGCGTAATGGTACTTTAGAATGGCCCGTGGAATCGAGAGGCACCGTGACGAGAATATTTAGATCGGAGGCAGCGTATCTTTTATACTGCCGGCGATCGAGTATTTATGACTCTTAAAAGTCTTCGAGCTGAAGGATCTAACAACAAGTAGCAATAACTATCCAAAGATCTAAGACACAGTAAGAATATCTCGACGCTTTCGAGAATGCGATATACGCGAAAGGGTGGATTATCGCTCCGAGATTCGAGGGCGTGAAAAGCTCTCTTCCCTTCTTTTTCCAAGCGCAATAAAAACGTCCTCGTTATTCTTTTATATCTGCCACCAGACACTCCCACTTCTTGAAAACGATCACCGTGTAAATAGCGGGTTTCTCGAACTTGGCGCTGATTTACCGAACAGTCTACTTACCGAACGCGATAAATGCCCAAATTGAGATTCTCGCTCTGGTTCAGAAATTGAAAAGCATTCGGGTTGTAAATCGGCGATTCTGCCGAATTGGACCGCACAGGTTCCAGCACTTCGTTTATGATGTGTAAGACCTGAGGACATAAAGATGTCAATTGTTATTTTTAAGCGAGAATATCACAATTTTACAAAATTAATAAAACAAAAATTTAAATATTAAAATAATTAATAATTCTATATCGTAATTTGGCAGAAATAATAATTTAATAATATTCGTATTCCAGAAATTTTTCTTGTACACAAAAAGAACAATTTTATTAAAATATCTAAAAATGTGGAGATTATACAGATTTGAAAATAATCTTGTTGGACTATCAGAATAATTATATAAAATGTTTAAATTTTGGAATATAAACAATTTTTGCTATATTATTATTATCGTTATGTTTAGGTGCCCTATGTAATTATGATCACAAAATTATCTTCATACTTGTATCTGCTCAAATTTTAAAATATTTAAAAAATGTACTTTTATATATTTTCGATCTCAATTTTTCAAGATTTTTATATCTGTTCTGATATCTGTTTTGAATCAGTTCGACTTCTTTTTTAATATAATATAACATAACTCTTATATAGAATCACAAAGTTCTATTGGAAATAAAATTCTCTTTTTCCCAAAATAAAAAATTATTCGTTTATTATTTATTTCAAATAAAGTAGGTATCCAATTCATATAAAACAAACTTCTATCACAATCCTTCAAAATGCATAAATCTTAAAATTGAAGTCAAAAATAGAAGTCAAAAATTTCGACTTGGGTATTAAAGGAGAGGAAAAGAATTTCGGGAGATATTTCATTAGCATTGTAAGACATTAGCATTGTATTTCATAAGCATTTAGCAAAGATTTCCTCCTGAAATTACATAACTGTAATGCAGATGTAAGAATGTTAAACCTAAGCAACCCTGGGATTAAGGTTTAGAGTCCCTAATTCTGGGAGTGTCTGATCTGACTTGCGCGTAAGGACCAAGTTAATCTCGCCAAGTCGAACGGATCCATGAATCCGACTACAGTGGAGAAGATGAAGTGAGACAAACCGACGTCAAGCTCGCGTCATGAGTTTGGCGAGAACGGGGACACGAAGAGAGAGAGAGAGAGAGAGAGAGAGAGAGAGAGAGAGAGAGAGAGAGAGAGAGAGAGAGAGAGAGAGAGAGAGAGAGAGAGAGAGAGAGAGAGAGAGAGAGAGAGAGAGAGAGAGAGAGAGAGACAAAGATAAACCTTCGAAGTGGAGGAAGCGGAAGCGGATAAGCCAAGGAACGGTATAGAGAGAGGAGGGGGGGAGGAGAGGGGAAGAGAGAGAAAGAGAGACTGGGAGATGCACGTCGCGAGTATTTATCCTGCGGCGACGAACGCGGGCTATATCGGTCTGTCAGAAACAACTGACGCGCACTTTAATAGTAAACTCATGAAAGAGAGAAAAACATATTTATTCACGTGTGTGTCTGGAGTAATGCATTCGCTATGAAATTCTCTTCGGCAAGACAGGCTTCTCTTCGAAAACAATATATCTTTCTACAATAACGTTTCTTCAGCTCTACTTGTCACGGTAAATTCAGTTGCGCGAAGTTAAAAACTTTTATAGGGGAGATCGCGTACACGTTGTCTATATCGTGTATCTTCATCTATTGTTCTTATAGAAAAAAACTATAGATATTCTATGAGATCCGCCGCTGAAGAAACACCGCCAAGGATTAGGAGCCTCTTTCACACTTTCCTTTCACCCCCTCTCTCCCCTCCTATCGTGCTACACGCTATTTTCACGAGTGCAGGGTCGCTAGAAGTGATAAGACGTAGAAACTGTAACCCCCCCCTTTGCGTACCCCCGTCGGGAACATCAGGGGCACCGTCATTTACTATTCCGAAAAGGAAAAAGTTCTCGCGACTAAAACGTTGCCGCCGCTATTTATTTGCTCTTCCCCGCGTTCGTCCTGGCTCCCTTATCTTGCGAAGGATATCCCGTTCCTATAGCCGTTTGGCTTCCTCTGTCAGGAAAAAAAAAGCGGAACGAAGGGGCGGAGGGAACAAGAGCATTGGGAAGCATAAGCGTCGAAGTTGCAACGTCCCGTGAGATTTCGCCCGCAGAATATCAAAATGTTTTCCCAGTCTGTATTAATAGAAACGTCCCCTTACCCGGGATTTTATTTAATATCCATAATCTTAATCTTTTCGCTGTGACGATTTTGTTGCAACATCTTTCGTAAATATAATCCAATTCAAGAAAGAGGAGAGAAGAAACGGAAGAGCGGAGAAGCCAATTGAAATGCCAAGGAAACTGTATTAATAAGCGACGTTGATGATAAAACTGAATTAACATAATAATTCCCGTCAGAAACTGTTTTCCGGCTATTTCCGTAGGCCATCGTCGAATTATTATAGCGACTACTCGATACGTGATATCGTGTAAATTAAATTTCGGAATTGCAAAGTTTCGTGAAATGAAAGTCTGAAATTTAAAAAACAATCCAGAAACACGTGGATTTTTACGCGAGCGTTTGTGGGATAGATAATTAAATATCCGCGCGATCCATCGTGGCCGGGCCGACAGTTTTAATACGAAACATCCATCACGGTGTCTGTAAAGATGAAGAGGAGCGCGGGCAAGCGGCGGGGAGGAAGGAGGGTAAAAAAGAAGAGCTGGTCGCGCGGTCGTACGGAAAGTTGGCGCCTATGAGCTCTCCGAGGGAAGAGAAAGCGCGGGCAAACGTGGAAGATTGTATGATAAAAGGAGAAAAAGGAAGACGGCGAAGGAGCGTGTCCCATTTATCCAGCGTAGTCGCAGAAAAAGACAGCGACAGCAACGAGGACGGGGACGGGGACGGGGAACGGGGGGGTGGCGGGGTGTGGCGCTTGGCTAGAAATGAATCGTTTTACTCACCGAGAATGAGAGAGGAAAGCGAAGTTTGTGTGTTCCTTACGGGATAAGACGAGCCAGGACGGCCATTTATCTTGCTTGCGGTCGCGAGTCATCGAGGGGAAGGGGCAGGGAAAGATCGAACATTCATCAGCGCAGGACGAATCCTTAATTCTCTCGCGCGTCCGCTTTTTCGCGCTTTAACGGCTAAACATCGGGAGGACATTGGGAGGAAATCGTGGAATTACGTAGGCTCATAAAAAATTCGACCGGGATCTCGGGAATCGTGAATATTTGAGAATCGCGGGACGCAACGCGGTTGCAACAGCGGCTGCGATATTGATCTCGGCCGAGGTACCGTTCGATCATATTAATTTCACTCGAGCTTCTTTGTTACCGTCTAATTTCGCGCGAGTGGAAAGTACGGCGACCATACCGGGGTCGCCTACCGCGGAGTATCGTAAAGTTAACGCTAATTAAACTTTACCGATAGTTGCGCCGGGCCACTCGCGACCTCTCCGAGCCGGGCTCCTTCTTAATCAGCCCGGCCAGTAATATTCGCGGTCGGGGATGGTACACGTGGGTACGAGTTATCATCTCGATACACAGCAGCCCGGGTTCGTTTATTTCTCGGGCGCCTCGAGATAATCACGATTTGCGCGTGGTTAACGATGAATTTTAATATATATATATATATATATATATATATATATATATATATATAAATAATTATTTTTATGATAAACTCACGCGGATATGGGAGTCCTCTTCTAAAGAGAGATTAAAATTGATTCGATCTCGGTGTATGCCAGAAAAAGTCCATTGCCGCCATTTCGTTAAAACGTTATCGTATTAGCATCTTGGTTTTGCTCCCCTTGTTATAATCCTTTACTACGCGCGATTATCTTTAAACGTTCATTCGAATTGTTACGTTGAACATCTAGCGCTCGTCACATTTTTTTGGAAAAGGCTCTTTAATAAAATGCCTGACATTTTGCGTAAATTTAGAAAATAACGGACCACGTCTCTAGTTAAAAACCTTTCTGCTTTTCAATTAGTGCAAGAGCAAAAAGAGAAGAACGGCAGGAACAGTAGAGCATTTAAGTTTGCAGTTGACGTACGTTAATAATTTTATACGCGCGGCGAGTCGCGACTATTAAGTAATCAAATGCATTCTTTCCGCATGAATATTCAAGCCGGGGAGAGAGCGCGAGGGTAATTCCATGCAAAGCGGAGGAATTCCAAATCCGAATTATGTAGCTACGCGCGACGGCGAATCATCGCTGGTATAGAAATCGCGCTAATTTTCATTCTCCGTCCCCGATTTCTTACAAGAAACTGCCGTACTTTTCCGTCGTTCAATTATCATCGAGATTTATGGAAAGAAAATCGTACAGAACGAAACGGGAGGAGAATCGCGACTGTTTTACGACTTGCAAATATTACTCTTAATGGAAATTAATATAGACGGATGATGGAAAATTGCAGCGGGATCGAAGCTGAATATTGTTAATCTTTAAAACATGAAATCCCCCTTTTATTGAATTCTAGTTGGCATTTGTTAATGTCACGAGAACGAGTCAATGGATGATCGAGCGGAGAAATTGCGAGCAGAAATTGGATTATCTTCTTTAAGGTCACTTCGAGATTCATTGAATCGAGCCGGGAGAAGGGATGAGATAAGAGGGATGAACGTACGCGGTTGGTGCTCGTACGAAGTGGCTCGATTTTCATGTTACATCCCTCCTCCAGTAACTTTTATTTTCTTGCCACCTCTACTCATTCTTTTTACTTTCCACGATGAATGATCCTTTCTTTCGTTCTTTTTCTTCATGTCTTTTCAGTACTTTGCTTTATTTTTTTTTTTTTTGAGTAAAGTTCCGTGCTACCTCAAATGCATTTTTAACAGGTACTGATCTTCCCTCTATTTTTAACCCACGATGGATACAGGTGGTTGCGCTTACTCTCAAAAATCTCGAATGTACTTCACTCCAATGAAAACTACTTAAGGATAATTAAATTAAAATTAAATGCCAATTTTTAATTCATTTTATGAGATAAATTTTACGGTTATTTATTGCCTTGCACCTGACTCGGCATTTCTCATTCATTATTCCAGACAAACAAGTCTCTCATTTTAACCTCTACCATGTTGGAATCCCTCGTCTGGAACGTTTTATCGTGTTCAAGATTACTTATTATTTCAATACCTATTTTTAT